ACTTATAAGATAAAATATAATGTAACACACCGGATGAAAATTTATTTTAATAAAAACAAGTTGATAGTTAATACTTGATTTATGGGATAAACTTTTTTAACAATTTTTTTTATTAAAATTAAAATACTATGAAGAAGAATTTGAGTTTAAGTTATAAGATAAAATATAATATAACACCTAAGGTTGAACATTTATTTTAATAAAACAAGTTGAAAAAAATTTATACTCATAAAAATTTATTTTAATGAAAACAAGTCAACAATTTTGTACTTAACTTATGAGAACCAAAAAGAATTTTACCAAAATTGTTTTCTAATAAAAATTAAAATATTATGAAAAAAATTGAAGTTTAACTTATAAGATAAAATATAATATAACAAACTGGAATAATATTTATTTTAATAAAAACAAGTGAATAATTTTATTCTTAATTTTCGGAACAAATATTTTTACCAAAAAAATTATCTAATAAAAATTAAAATTCTATTCAGAAAATTCTTACGTACTCGGACAAAATATAATACAACATACATGAGAATAAATATTTTACAATAAAAATAATATGATAATTTTATACTTAATTTACAGCGTCAAAAATTTTTATCAAAAAAATAATCCTAATAAAAATTAAAATATCTTTTACTAATTAATATATCTACTCCATACAAAATTAGTGTCTAAAAGCATTGTTCATCTATTATTATCTTTCCATGTATATAAATGTAAATAAATTATTTCAAACTCCTTACCTTAATTAAAAGTTATACAATAAATAAATTACTTTTTGTATGATATATTCAAATTATTTATTTTAACTTGAATATTAATTTTTATTAATTAAATTAATATTCAAAAAAAATCACATAAAATACTTATATTATATTACTTTATAAAAAGATTATTTATATATATCCGTGCATTGCATGCGTGTTACCAACAAAGCACAACTTCATTCCATGTCTTAGTTTTTTTTTTTTTTTTAATGATTCTATATCTTAGTATGTCACTATAAAATATTACCATATTACTATATTAACAACTAAATTCATTTTTATATTAAATTGATTTAAATTTAATAAAAAATTTATATATATAACTCCTAACATACACATTTATTAATAATATAAAGGGAATAAGTAAAACACCCTAAACTATATTAATTATTTAAGTTTTAAAATAAAGTAATAAAGAAAGTATCATAAAATATTAATCACATTAATTTTATTATTATAGTTTTAAAATAAAAATAATTATGATTATATGCTAAAAAAATAATGAATATTAGAAAGAAAAAAAAAGTAACACATTAACAAAGTAAACAACTTATACAACAATTTTTTTTCTAAAATATCATAAATATAATTATAAAATTATTATTTTTTGTTAATATAAAAAATATAATTAAAAACAATTTTACAAAAAAATATTAATATTTTATATAAATATTTTTAAAGTAAAATATTCAAAATTTCTAACTCTAAAGATTTGCATCTAAAATAATATTCCTATAAAATAAAAATATAATACATTGATATTGTAAATTGTAACACCTTAGAACATTAATTACATTAATTATAAATTATTTCAGTTTTAAAATTAATTTAATTAAAAATTACATATAAAATTAGTATATATAAAGTAAATAATTTCTCCCGCAAGTATTTTTCTCAAAAATTCATTAATTACATTAATTTTAAATTATTTTAGTTTAAAGTAACAATAATTATAAAACTTATATAAGAAATAATTAATAAAAATAATTATGCTTATATGTTAAAAATAATGAATATTAGCGAAAAATAACACTTAGTAAAGTGAACAACTTTTGCAACAATTTTTTTTCTTTAAAATATAAAAAAAGTAATTATAAAAATTTCTATTTGTAATGACCCGTCGTGACTGTCACACTACGAAACAACATACACATTATTGGAATATATATACTAAAATAGTATAATAAAATATTTACAACACAAGTTGCTAATCAAGCAAACAACAACAATCAATTATATACAACAAAGTATGCTACTATAAGGTAGCCTAAAAAAATATCCATCTCCAGGCACCTCCTGTGACCTCTAGCAGCTATCTCCTAGCCTATCCCTGTCCTGCTCCCATACAACGTATGATCATCGCAGTCCAAACCACATGAAAACATGCAAGGGTAAGCTAGAGACAATAAACAACTCATAAATATCAAATATGCAACATAACAACTATATAATCATCTTCACATCCGACACAGAAGACAAACAACACATATATTACACATCTTTCAACAACACATGTTTAAAACAACTTACAACATAACAACACTATCATCATCCTCAATAGGGTCAACATACAACACAATCACATCTTAACAACATAACAACATAGATACAACTCTTATCAACAACAAATCAACTCATCAACAACTTATGCGTCGTCACGCATTTCAACTCGGAGATCTCCAACAACTGAGGTTGAGCAGTCTAGGTGGCATAAACCCTACCGAATCCAGCGTTTGACCTATCTCAACCAGGTCAGGTATAGAACAGCGTTAGGAACTCTGAAGAGAACCAGGTATAGACAACAATAGGCGATTGCTCAGGTGTGCCACTTAGACTCGGAGGTCCAGTACTACTGTCAGGACAGAAGGGTTTGGGTATGAGCCTACCATGGCCTTGGCTAGCATCACCAATTCACATATGGAGTTAGCCCAGCCACTGTCCTCCAAGTACCACGCACCCTCCAGTACCTAGTCAAAGACTACATCTCTAACTAGATACCTTACTCAAATTGGTCATTCAACCATGACATGGATCAACTACTTCCATGTCGCCCACACAGTACTAAGGAATTCAACTTTAAAACAACTTTTTAACTTATCTCCTTAGTACTATGTATCTCAACATAGGACATATATCTTCACCATATGTCCCTAACTTTTCAACTTTACAACAATAAACATCTGGCCGCTTGTAATTGGTATAGCTCGGCCTGGCCCCTATACCGTGGTCGCTTTGTACACGTGTACCTCGACCTTGCCCACACATGGGATCAACTAAGTCCTAGAGGAGAACAACACAACGTCCACTCCAAGGGACAACTTCCCAAGGAGGGTTTTTCAACAAATTGGGCTCTTAAAGCACCACAACTATCTCAATTCAAACAATGGGATGAGCAACTTCAAAAACATTTCCCCTAGTCCTAGTGATCAACAACTCATCATCACAGATTAATCAGCTTAACAACTTAAACAACATACAACTTTTCAACTCATCATCTCAATCAACATTCAACTTGAACAACATAGTTTATCAGCACAACAACTCATCAACATTGTTTAACAATACATTTAAACAACTCAACAACTCATTTCAACTTTAAACAACACAATATTAGCTCAACTCATAATTTACAACTCAATCACCATAAGGTAATCTCTTTTCAACACATGGCACAACATACAACTTTATAGCAACATACAACTCTATACTCAACATGCACCTCTTCATTTCATTTTCTACTCATCATACATCTCAATGTAATTATGCAACTTCTTATTCAATTATACAACTATCCAACTTTAATAATTTTAACAACATGCAAACAACTTAATTAAACAACTATAGTCATTACAATATCAACTTAATGCAACTTAAAAACTTTATAAACAACTTCAGCAATATACAACATATTTAAAATTCATCTATCATGTCAACTTACACAATATAAACAACATAAATCAACTTAAGCACCCAACAACTCAACTATTTCAACAAAATAACACCATGCATAAAGCTTCCCTAACTCTCCTGAAATTAAACAACCTACATTCTAGCTTCCCTCACCTGAAGATTCGCTCAAAATAGCCAAGAATTGAGAAGAAGCAGAATTTCCTTTCTGAAGCTCAACCTGGGACTTCAATCCACCCAAAGCAAGCTTCCTAATCCAGAGTCCTTCTCTCTAAAACTTCTCCCTAAAAACCTCCATTTTCCTCAACTGCCACAACCTCTATTTATAGAAGTCTGAACTGGTCAAAACAGCTCGTTCCAAATCTGGAATGGCCTGTTCTGGGCTCCTTCATCATGTGTAAAATTCACATGCAAAACGGCCCGTTCTAAAACCAGAACGACCCATTCTGGCACATCTAGAACGGCCCGTTCTAAAATCGAAATGGCCCATTTTAGAGTGGAATTTAACTCACAATGACCATTTTGGAACGGCCCGTTCCAGCCTAAGATTCATAGGCCTATTTAGTAGCTTGGAACGGTCCGTTCCAGTTTGGAAATGACCTGTTCTTGACTACTAAATCACCCTTGTTTTAATAGTCTGGAATGACCCGTTCCAATCTAGGAACGTCCCGTTCCAGTCTACTAACTACGTTACACTATTGGTAATATATTATTATTAGGAAAAATATGTTTTGAAAAAACCCTATTAAGTAGTTAAATTAGTTTCAAGATATGTATATATTATTTTTTAATATTACTTTTTTTATTAATTCTCAATGTTATTATATTTTATATCTATTATTGTTATCAATTTTTATTTATAAAATTAATTAAATATCATTTCACTCAATTTATCAAAATAAACCATACATCCTACGGATATCGATCTCATTATACAAAATGTTAGGTTATTGTTATAAATATTGTTTTGATGTGAAAATGATAAATATTTGTGATAATAAAATTAATTATAATTAAAAGTATGTTACTTGTGAAAATTAATACATTAAACAATAAAATTATATATTTAACATACTTTCAAATTAATAAAATTTAAACAATTTTATTTATAGTTATGTTTGAAATTTGAGACAACAGTAAAACTAGATACAAATGTCAATGAATGTCATGCTTTGGTATTTTAGCAGAGCATGTGCAGTATGTGTATGAAAATAAATATTAAGTTCAAAGTTAATGGACGCTGTCATACTACTAGCAGCATCATTATTCAAAATAAAACACAAAAACTTCACATTTTAGATATTAATTTCGTGGCTTAAAAATAAAATAAAATAACATTACATTACAAATAGATTATATACAACAAAAGACAATCAAATCTGCAAGTTTCTTGAAACAGCAATTTTACATTACATTACATTGTAAACCTCAATACTACATATCTTACACATCTAACAATCCTTGAAGCTTTCATCCCAAATTGAAGCTAACCTGCTACAGACCGCAAATTTTGTAATATCATTCAGATTGCATATATTAATCGTGATGGAGAAAAATTGAAGACTAAGTTTTAGTAACAAAATAAATTAAATTGAAAATCTATACTACCATTGGAGTACAAAAAAGTACGTTACTGTAAGCATTAGAAGGTTTAAAAATTAGAGATGTCATCTGAAAACAAGAAAATTTCTCTAAACAGAACACCCTCTATAAATCCTTTACAGCAACAAAAGTAATCATTTTTAGAAAAATAGCTACCATTTGCAAAGTCACGAAGTAAAGAAACAAGGGAGTTGATGAAAGCAAAAATGTACATGTTGGAATCAGCAATAGAATGACTAAAGAATGAAATAAGTAAATTCTAACTATCAAATTCATGCCAATGAACAACTGAAAATTATTCTCCCATTCCACATCAAAAGGAGTTAATGATTTATTTTTAACTAATAGAGGAGAGAAGTTAAGGGTATCATGTACCTGCTAGTGCTAGCTTTCGAGTCATCTACAGCACTTGGCTATATTCAGTTCAACTCTTACAAGTATAGAGTCTGTCACTCTGTTTAAGAATCTCAGATAAGCAATTCTCCATGGTTTCCAAAGTATTATTGGCCCTAATAATCCCCAAAAGCCTGCAAAGAATCCTAACCCCAAACTCATGTATAATGCTTCATTGAAAACTGATTTATCTTCTTCACCATGCACTGCTGGTTCTTGAGGTTTTGCTGTTGTCTTGTCTCCAGGGCAGCTTTTGTTGAGTGGTTTACCACAAAGCTCAAGATTTCCTTCAAAACTAGAGGCCTCAAATGTTTCCAATTGTCCTTCCCATGGGATTCTTCCACTGAGATCATTGTTTGACAAGTCTAACACACCAAGCCTATCAATTTTGGAAAGAGTAAATGGAATTTTGCCAAAGAATTCGTTTCTTGACAAGTCTAGAAAATCTAGCCAACTTAAATTCCCGATCTCGGTAGGAATTTCTCCATCTAATTTGTTTCTTGATAGATTCAAAGAAACCAATCCAAATAAATATCCAATCTCTTTGGGTATTGTACCTGTTAAATCATTACTCGAGAGATCAATGCTTTTTAAAAGAATGTCGGGATTCCAAAACACATAATCCTGACTTTTCCACGTCAATAACACGTTAGAGTCGTAAATAGAAGTATATATCTCTGTAGATGTTATTTTTCGATCCTTTACAATTCCACTTGTTGTTATTTCCCTTTCCATCATTGCAGTAAAATTCCCCAGACATGCAGGAATTCCTCCCGACAAATTATTCCTTGAAAGGTCCAAGAAATGAATTTGGCTCAAATAACATAGGTTTTCAGGAACACTTCTGAAGAAGCGATTTACTCTCAAGCTCAAGATTTTCAATTCTGGAAGATTTTCTCCTATCCACAAGGGTATTGGACCAAACAAAAAGTTTTCACTCACATCTAATATGACTAAATGAGTGCAGTTCTTCAATGTGAATGGTAGGCCTCCGGTTAAGTTGTTGTTTCGTAAGACTAAAGCTTGCAAATGAACAAGAGTACCCATGGACTTTGGAATCTTCCCTGACAATTTATTATTGCTTACATCAAGATATTCTAGTGAATTTTTTAGATGTTTCCAACAGTTGGGCAGTTGTCCCGTTATTTGATTATTTGATAAAATTAAAGTATGCATTTTTGTGGTTGCGCTTTCCATGCACAAGAATGAATTGAAATCCGAAATCTTGTTTTTGGAAAGATCCAATGCGTAAGCTTGTGATAAAAAAGTTGGAATTTCACCTTCAAGTTGATTTGATCCTAGAATTATAGCATTATAATCATCAGTAAGCTTGATTGGCAAATTCGGAATTGTACCTTTGAGACTGTTGCAAGACATATTCAGCCATAATATAGACTGTAACTTGCTCCAAAACCACTCTGGTATAAAGTCATCAATCCCAGCATCAGAAATATCTAGAAAGCTTAAGTGCCTTTGAGTGTGGAGCCAACTTGGAAAAGTAGGACCCAATTTGCAAGAAGCTAGTCCCAAACTAAATAATTGGAAAGGTGGAACCCAGGAAGAAGCAAACTTTAGAGACAAAGAGTTGTCTGTTAAGTCTAACACCTGCAATTTAGACAAATTTGTGAGACGCAATTCATTGATATCACCTTCCAAATGATTCCCCTCTAGGTGAAGGTACTCCAACTGATAAAGCAACCCAATGCTTTTTGGTATTTCTCCGCTAAACTGGTTATAGGAAAGATCTAACATCCTCAAAGATGTAAAATTTGAAAGATTAGGTAGCATTCCAGTAATCTGGTTATATGATAGATCGAGAGTCTGAAATACATGTCTGTTGCACTGTGAAGAATTTTGAATGATGTTAGAAATTTCTCCGCTCAAGTAGTTCTTTTTTAGGTACAATTCCTGCAATGTGAATATATTCCAAAGAGAAGCTGGAATCTCACCTTGCAGTTTGTTAGAGTCAAGGACAAGAACTTCAAGAGACTTCATTACTTTCCCAAATCCATCTGGAATGAGACCTTCTAACCAGTTTTCATCAAGGTGAAGGCTATGAAGATTGGTGGTAAAGTTGAAAATCCAGTCAAATATAGCGGATGATTTCAGTGAATTATGGGAAAGCACAAGGGTGACAAGAGAAGATGAAGAATTTTTATTGGAAGCAGATGACACAAGAAAACTTTTATCAGTAAGACGGCAACTATCTAGATAAAGTTCTCGTAGTTTGGAGCTGAAGTTGAAAAATCCTTGAAATATTAACGATGTCAGATTATTTCCAGAGAGATCAAGGATAACTAGCGAGGGAAAGTTTGGATAGAAAGAAGATAACAAAACAATATCATTACCAGAAAGATATAGTTCTCGGAGATTAAGGCTATAGTTGAACAACAATTGAAATGTTGATGATGTGAGCATATTATCAGAGAGGTCAAGGATGGAAAGAGAAGTGGAAAGGTTGGAATGAGAAGGAAACAAAAATGAAATATCCTCATCTGTAAGACTACAATAAACTAGCTTTAATTCTGTTAAGTTTGGAATAGTCTCACGGATAATTTGTTTCCAAGAATGAGAGGAGCCAAGATCATAAAATGCTTCCAGGCCAAGAGTTGTTAATGAAGAGAGAGAAGATAGCCACTTTGCATCGATAATTTTAAGATCAAAATTACCGCCAAGTCTAAGAGTGTGCAAGATAGGAAGATTCCCAACTTGAAAAGGGATTGCTCCAGAAAATGAATTTCCCCAAAGATCAAGATACTTCAACTTTGAGAGATTTCCAAGTTGAGAAGGCACTTGCCCATCTATTTCATTGGCACTTAGATCAAGATACTCTAACTTTGAGAGATTCCCCATTTCATATGGAATCCTCCCATATGAGAAACCCAACGATGATAAATTGAGATACCTTAAGTTGGTGAAGGAGCCCATGAGTTGCTCATCACCGAAACTCCATTTAAAATCATTATGGCTGAGATCCACGTGTTCAATATTTTGTAGGTGAATCAATGAAGTGATATTGATTGTACCTGTCAAATATCGATGATACTGACCAGGGAGTTGAAGCATGTGTACGTGACCTGTTTCATCGTTGCACTGAATGCCTTTCCATGTGCAACAATCTCTCTTATCTTCATCTTCCCTCCACGTAGACAGAATGCCAAACTCATCTCGAAGTCCTTGTTTGAAGCTGAGGAGTGCTTGTCTTTCTTTCTCAATGCATTTCACATGTGATGGAGAGCTGAATCCATGAATGGATTGTTTAGTATGCCAAATGCAAACTAACATTGCAAACAGCATTTTCAGAAAGTAATTGCTCATTATGAGAAAGACCAATAGCTAAGAATTATGATTTGTGGTGTGCATTCAAAACAGAGCAACAAGACTTAAGTACTAAATATTTATTGATACTATTACTTTAATTTCAACAACTAAACCAGATTGAAAATAGTTTTCTTATTATAGTATAAAATATTTTCATGAATCTAAAATATAACTTATTTGTTCAAGATGAGAATAGTTATATGTCTAAAAATATTTATTCAATCCAATATTTTAATTATAAAATAGTTTATATTTTCAGAAATATTTATTTATTGTAAATTATGTAAAATAAAAAATTATCATATATTATACATGTTTAATAATAATTTAATAAAATCTTGAAGAATTGTTGTTGAAAGAGATTGTACCCATTTCGCGTTGCTTATTTCTATCGCTGTATTTTTCAATGACTATAGGTTGAAGGAAAATGATGGTGGAAAAGCTAAATATCCATTTACATATTGCGAATATTGATAAATCACTATTTGACAAAGGTTGTTCACAACAATATTGAGAGGTTACATTCTCTCTCTACTATGAATATGATCGAAGAAATCAAATTGTTTTCATATATCACATGTAAGTTTGAGGACGCATAATTTCTGTTAGAATTTAAGTGTGAAATTTCACATTGAATACTTTGACTTGTTAAATAATATATAAATGAAAAAGAGAATTTCACCGATTTTTACTTACGATGCGATGTTAAAGATACTTTTATAATTTCACCGAAAGAGCAATAATTTGATGCACAAAAGCCATACGCAACAAGTCGTGGTCTTGGTTGACTGACTGTTGGGTCATCACAACATTCTTTTAACTAAACAATTCCATGCCAAGCAAGTAACAATATTTTAAAAGAAATTTCTGAGACTCATGGTAGAAAAACTATTCAGTCTTCTCCTTAATTGTTATTTTTCCAGATTACTTGGGGAGAGTTGTTGCTGAATTCGCGCTAGGCGCTGTTTTCCGCGCCGGGCGCGAGAGCACCAGGAGACTCTTTGCTTAGGCAAGCCCGCGGGGCACAAAGCTGTGTGCGCCGGGCGAGCTTGCAAATGGGAGTCTCTGGTTGGTCCACGCCGGGCATGACATGAGCTGCGCCGGGTGTGATATCAATGGTGACATGTTTTGGAAACTCTGGTGCCGCGCTAGGCGCGCGTTTGGACTCGCTGGGCGCGGAGGCTCCTTGGGAGTCTCTGCCAAGAGAGCGTTGGGCGCAAGCAAATTGCGCCGGGCACGAGACCTTGGTAGGTCTTTGCCTTCCCCACGCTGGGCGCGGGTTAGGCCACGTTGAGCGCACGAGACCCCTTAGAGTCTCTGCCTGGCAGGCACTAGGCGCAATTGGGATTGCGTCAGGCGCGTGAGAGCCTTGGACTCTCTGGTTGAGTCTCGTCGGGCGCAAGTACTCTTACGCTACGCTCGTTGGCCCCTGGTGCTCTCGGGTTGAGCCGCGCTGGGCGTGACCTCGAGTGCGCCAGGCGCGCAAGGAGATATTATCATACATGCTGCTAGCTGTTGACTTTTGCTGAGGTTGATAATCAATGTTATAATATGCTAAACTAAGCCGAACTTGATGAATATGTTGTGCTAACTAGGTGATAATGCTGAGAAAATAATGTTTAGCTGTATTAGAGGTATAATGTTGTGCTGGGTTGGGCTGTGATCGATGAATTAAAATGTTGAATTCATAATATTGTGGTACTATAGAATGTTGGGCTGAGTTGTGAGTAATAAGTTGTGTTGAATAGTACTTGGCTGTGCGGTGTGCTAAATTGTTGTGTTGTGCTGTGCTGAGCTGTATGATGTTATAGCCGCTAAGTTGGTGTTGTTATTGGCCACACATGTGTTGTTATAGCCGCTGAGTCGGTGCTGTTGTTGCCGCTTTGCGATGCCGTTATAGCCACTTGAGTGGTACTGTTATTGCTGCTAAGCAGTGCTGATGTTGCCGTATTGCGGTGCTGATATTGTTGAGTATTGTGAGTGGTATAAGCTGTAGCTATAGTTTATCATATTGCTATATATTTGTATGTTGATTTTTAATTACACTAGCTTACCCTTTGTTGTTTCCATGATGTTTAGACTGCAATGATCATACTATGTATGGGAGCAGAGCAGGGATAGGTGGGTGACTAGTGGTGAGTCTTCAGCGGACCGGTGGAGCTGATCTCTTTTGTGATTATTTTGTTGTCGAGCTACTTGGGGTAGTAGCGCTTGATTGTATTTTGTACACTTTAACCCTGTCCAGATTGGATCATGTATATGTATATTCTAGACCCTATATGTATACACTTGTTCTTTTCTGTGCGGTGTTTCTAGTATACTGTGCCGTGTGTAGTGACCAGCCGGGTCGTTACAATAGCGACACAATACGGCTCCAATAAAGTTGCTATAGGCTACAGTTCCACCAAGTAAATAATTTTTTTAAAAAAATAAAATTTACTTAAAATTTTCGTATATAATATTTTTGAACAAATGTAATTAATTATAAACTTAGTATATATTAAAAATATAATTTTAAAAACAATATATAATTTTATTAACAGAAATTATTTATATAAAAAGTTGTGTTGAATAGTACTTGGCTGTGCGGTGTGCTAAATTGTTGTGTTGTGCTGTGCTGAGCTGTATGATGTTATAGCCGCTAAGTTGGTGTTGTTATTGGCCACACATGTGTTGTTATAGCCGCTGAGTCGGTGCTGTTGTTGCCGCTTTGCGATGCCGTTATAGCCACTTGAGTGGTACTGTTATTGCTGCTAAGCAGTGCTGATGTTGCCGTATTGCGGTGCTGATATTGTTGAGTATTGTGAGTGGTATAAGCTGTAGCTATAGTTTATCATATTGCTATATATTTGTATGTTGATTTTTAATTACACTAGCTTACCCTTTGTTGTTTCCATGATGTTTAGACTGCAATGATCATACTATGTATGGGAGCAGAGCAGGGATAGGTGGGTGACTAGTGGTGAGTCTTCAGCGGACCGGTGGAGCTGATCTCTTTTGTGATTATTTTGTTGTCGAGCTACTTGGGGTAGTAGCGCTTGATTGTATTTTGTACACTTTAACCCTGTCCAGATTGGATCATGTATATGTATATTCTAGACCCTATATGTATACACTTGTTCTTTTCTGTGCGGTGTTTCTAGTATACTGTGCCGTGTGTAGTGACCAGCCGGGTCGTTACAATAGCGACACAATACGGCTCCAATAAAGTTGCTATAGGCTACAGTTCCACCAAGTAAATAATTTTTTTAAAAAAATAAAATTTACTTAAAATTTTCGTATATAATATTTTTGAACAAATGTAATTAATTATAAACTTAGTATATATTAAAAATATAATTTTAAAAACAATATATAATATTATTAACAGAAATTATTTATATAAATAGAAAATACCATTTAAAAAATAAAGAAAAACCAAGTCGCTATGGCCTCTAGCGCCACAACGTCGCTACAGGCCATAGCGACTCTAATATTTTAAAAAAAAATTAAGATATAAAATATAAATTAATAATATACTCCAGGGAGGGCGTGACCCTGGTCTGGTGTGGGTTGAGTGAGGCAATTAATCTGTATCACTTGTGTCAGATGTGGTGAGGTCTTGGCATAGTGTTAATTGTGAGATTGACATGAATTATGGATGTTGAAATAATTGTTATATTGATGTGAATGAGGAAAGGTAAAGATGATAATATTAATTAAAAAATCTAAATGAATTGTGATGGAATGATAAATTATGGTACATGCTTGTAAATATTTTATTAAATAAAGAAATATGATGAGATTTTAATATGGTGTGTTTGGATGTACTTTGCATATAGATATCTTCTTTTCTCACCGTATAAATTGTGGATATTTTAGGTGGAGAGGATCCGGCTACAAGTGGCATATAGGATGTCAACATTTTTATTTTGGGAAATGCTCTGATATTGTGACATCGGGGTAGAGGATTTTTAAGACGAAATATTTATGTGAATTTGGTACTGTAATATTATTTTAAAAACAATTTGTAAAAACTCTTGTGTTTTATGTTTTATATTTCTATTAATGTGGTTGTCGAAGTTTCTCATGTGAACCCTTTTACTGTAATTGAAAGATTTATTACAATATATGTGTTGGGGTAGTAAGGGTGTCACAAAAAATATAATTTTAAAAATAATATATAACTTTATTAGCAAAAATTATTTATATAAATAGAAAATACCATTTAAAAAATAAAGAAAAACCAAGTCGCTATGGCTTGTAGCACCACAACGTCGCTATAGGCCATAACGACTTTAATATTTTAAAAAAAAATTAAGATATAAAATATAAATTAATAAATAAACTAAGTGAAGGTAAAAAAATGTTAAAAATAACGCAGAAGAGAAATCATAAAATCAAAGAAAAATAATTTGCAAGAAAAAATTGTAAAATAATATGGAATAAATAAAATTTATGAAAAAAATTATGTCGCTATGGCCTATAGCGCCTTAAGGTCGTAACAGGTCATAGCGACACTATTATTCTAAAAAAAAACAAATTTTAAAAAATATAAAATATAAACAAAAAAGAACTAAAGTTTTAAATAAATATTAGAATAACGCAAAACAAAAATCATAAAATTGAAAAAAAAATTACAAGAAAAATTTGTAAAATAAAAATGGAGTAAATAAATTAGAAAAAAAAATAAAGAAAAAGATATGTCGCTATGACCTATAACGACTAAAAATCGCTACAGTCCATAGCAACTCTGGTATTCTAAAAAAAACAAAGCAAATTTTGTAAAATAGAATATATTAATAAATTTAAGTTCAAAAAATATTTAAATAACGCAGAAGAAAAATAAAAGATTTGTAAAAAAATAATTACGAAGAAAAAATTATTAAAAAACAAAAGAATTAAATTAAATAAATTAAAAATAGAAAAAAATCAGTGTCGCTGGGATATATCATTTCTTGGAAAAAAAACCAATGGTATATCATTTGCCAGGTGAAATAAATGTTACCGCAGATGCAGCAGCGAATAGGATGGCACCACGTGTTATTGTAACTGTAAATTAAAAAAACCAATGTCACTATGGAGTA